AGAGATTCGAAGGTCGGTTCCACCAGAAGATGACGGCGGATTCCTCTTGACCAGCTGTCGATTGGCTTTAATAGAAGATTCATGCTGACGTTGTTTCCGAGGCAATATCACTTGATTCCGGTGAATAGGGGCTAAGCTTTTGTGCGTCACATGATGAACATCATCAAAGCGTTGTAGCATCTTCACAACCAAATTCGAGATAACGAGTCAAGAAGGCCCACTGGCTCATCCCTAAATGCTGCCTGTATGCCATTAATATAGGCTCTTTTGAGGAGATTTCAGACCATATGTCACCCTAAAAACATGTGGGCAAAATACGTAACCTCTATTTCCGAGCATCCAGATTTGATGACCACCATATTTGTAAGGACAATATCATCTGCTCTGATGATGTCCGTTTTGATTGGAATTGGATGAGATAGTCTCAGAAACAGCGTCAACCAGAATGTTTCAATCGGCATCTGGAAAGAACCGAATCCGCAGTCATCTTCTGGCGGAAACGACATTTCAATCTCTTCATCACACACACACACACACACACACACACACACACAAATTCACTTGAAATTAAGGTAGGCTCAACCGTGATTCAAGCATACAGAAAGAGGCAAAATGGCTCGGATTGACTGGCCACTCGTCTCAGTCTCGCATTCGTCTGACCGCGAGGGTCAGCGGCGAGTTGTGAACACGCGGTCAAGTCGAATGTCGATGGGGAAACATGGCGACTGCCAAAATGGCGCCACGAAACGGCGTCACGACGCCAAATGAAGTGAAGCCGACCACTCGGCAACGTTGTTGCAAGCAAATCTGTGCTTCGAATCGGTCCACTTGCCTTTGGTGTCGGCACTCCGGCCACTTGACAGTCGAGTCGGACCAATTCGCCCAACCGGCAGATCTGGTCGTTGAACATGGTCAAGAACTCGGGCGGCGCCGCGACGACCGTGTTCGAGAAGCAGAGTTGGGTGCGTCGGCCCGAGGCCGGATGCATGAACGAGGCCGACGGTTCAGTTCTCTTCGTCTCCGTCGACAGCTCGTCGTCGAGAAAGTCGAGTGGATAGCGCGTCAGCACCGGCGGCGATGCTACCGGTCCGAGGTGATGCTCGATGCTCTGCTTGACGATGGTCACACGAGCCTGGCTTGTGGGCGTCGTCGACGGCTCCAGTCGGACCTCCGGCGCCGGCCTCGACGTCTGGTCCGTCCGCCCGGAAGAAGGCCGTGTCACAGCAACCACATTCTCCTCTTGCACGTCGGCCGGACTCACGATTCGATTCACCATCACCTGGCAACTGGTGGACAGAAAACCGGCCGCGTTCTGACCCCACAACTCCCAGACTCCGGCATGGGCGGATCCGTTGACTCGCGGAACCACGAGCCGATTCAGCATGTCGTAGTGCAAAATCTGATCAGAAAAATGCAGAATGGAAGAAATAAAAATGCAATTGTTTGCCTGACAGGATTTCCATGAACAGGTCCTTAAAATGTCAAACCTGAA